TAATACGTTTGTCATTAACTAAATTCAACATAAAACATATCTTCATATACACAGCTATTATCCCGCACTACAATATTACTACCGCACATTTAGAATCCAGATTTACATACTAAGTCCAACATTATTCAAAAAATAAATACATTTTGATTTAGAATTTACACTCGGTGGGGTTCGAACCCACGACTCAATGGCCTGTCATTAAGGTTTACCTAAACATAAAAAACTATGGTAGAATGATTCGTATTGCGACTACCCTCAACTGTAGGTAATAAAATGTATGCTTATTAATTATTATCTTTTATTTATATTCTCTATATCAAGACAACTACATAAGTGAATATATCTGGTTCGTGATCGATAAACAACTATACATTTCAAATAGTCATTGATATCAATTGATGTACTATGGTTACGCTTCTCATTATCGATTTCTATATTTACCTATTATATTGAGGCATTTGCCTTGACCCCCAAGAGCGTCAGCTACCCACAAAAATGATAAATGGAGAGCGGCAGTTACGCGTTACATAAACGTTGATAGATTAACTCCTCGTACATTGACTCTCATACTTTCGAATTTTAATGCCTATCCTCGCCCGTTTAAAATATTGACTCGGTCCGTGTTTTAAACGATAATGGCTGACCTAATTGATGGATTATTGGGACTAATCGTTACATTTATCAATCTTTTTTTTACACGCGCCGTACTTCTTATATAAAAGTTTAAATAAAACACTTTTAACCGTTTACAACGTGAAATTTATTTTATTTATTTGTAAAGTTTTGGGTGCTTTGCAGCAGTAGTGGTCCTGGAGAGTCTCAGGGCTGCTCAACTAATACATTTTGCGCTTAAAACTGTTTAAATTTTTTTATGTGTACAACAAGCGCAAACTACAGGCAGTATTTATATCTATGTTGCCCCTTAACGCTAAAACAACTGAGTTTATTGATTAACTATTGAATGAAAAAGGCTTTAATACCAGTGTTAGGAAAATTACAATTGAAACTTAGTTGGTTTGACATAAAAAATATCTCATTTCTCCTGTACTTCAGGTTGTCTGGAAGAGATAGCGCTCAGCGATAAGGCCGCCTTTTATTCATAAGTTAGTATATAAGATTTTTCCTCTTCAATAAATAAATAGATCTACTACGAATCTGGCTATTAAAATAAACACTAGTAAATGTTATTTGATATAAATATTTTAGATACATTATGTACCTAGTCTTTGTCATTCGATCGATTAATTTTACACTTTAATAACTTTGAAAAAAAAAACACGATAGTTTTTAAAATCTACCTCTCATAAAGGCATGTCCAGACGACCCTAAAACTCGAAAAGGTTTAACTTTTTCAATCTACCAAAACAAATAGAAAAGAATAATAAAAGACTTCTTAACAAGTACAATCTAAGTCGGCATCTAACATAAATACGTTTTTGATTTCGATCATCGTAATTCATTATTCACTTCCCTTCGAAGCTTTGCTTTTGTTTAACTTTCATATTTCAAATACAATGGTAATTGAATTGGCTAAGTTCTCCAAGTATTTGGGAAGGCGGAAGTCGATCGCTTATCTGCGTTTTCGATTGCAAATGTCAAACTTTTAAAAGTGAAATTGTTTAATTAGATGTTATGCAACAAATCGATATTATCTGCCTTAAATATATTGAGTTAAAGGCAATCTTTTAAACATTGAGAACTACAATTGCAAGCTATTTAAAATCACGTTATATTTATAAATATAATGTAATTTATCTAGATGTTAGCGTTACGCCCTATGAACCGTAAAAGGTATTTCAATTTATGAAATTAAAATTTTCAAGTGTATTCAATTTACTTTGTTAAATTTAGTCTAATTAAATCAAAATCAAATCAGGTAATCCACACACCCTCTTATTTTGTGTATGTGGATGGACATCACTCTGCTGTTGTACCTACCCATTTTTCACCTCAGTAATTTTACAAGTCTTCACCTACATTATAAGTTTATATATATTTACATTATTCGTCATCGTCACATTAAAAAAATGAATGTAATTTCTAAATCACTAAAATTATAAAAACTGTGTCACCAACTTTTCTAATTGAAGACACACAATTGTTATCTCTAAGTACCTCAATACTCTTAAAAACCGGTTACTAAACTATTTTAACAACAAATAACGGTTATTTCAAAGCACATCAATATTAAGGTACAAACAAAAATAAATACACATCGTTTCGTAAAATTATCCGCACATACATATTTAAATTTTATGATCACATGCTTGCCACTTCTATAAAAAGGTTAATGTAATTTTCTTCATAAATAAGCTCTCGCACTTACATTTTTTGTTATCATTAGTTGACGTGAACACGGCCGGTGAGGCCACGAAAAAAATTGTGTGAAAAATTACTTTGATTACATCTAATAACGGAGGCTGAGTCGTTTGATTGCGACTGGCAGACGTCATTAGCCGCAATACTTGGCCTAGAAGCTTTTATTGTCTTACGAATAAAGTATAATACTTATTTTAATTTCCCTCCTTTTTTTAAATCTTTACGTAGATCGCGTCTCAACAAATGATTTTAGTCAGTTATAGTGTATTATTGTATATTATTCGTTATGCGACTAGTACACGTTTAAAAAGAACAGTTTAAAACGTTTTGAACCGTTAAAAGTGTTTTATCTACTTTGTGCGTGTTTTACTTAATTTAGGATTACTTAATTATACCCTTATGATTTAGTAGGTAGAAAAAAAATAACCGTTTTTGGGGTTCACTTATTGAAAGGCGAATAACCCAGCCATATAATATCTCAACAAGATGCGCGGTCAACCTATATTCATATATATCTTTAAAGCTAAAAGCTTTAAAGATTTGGAAATCCACAGAAGTGCGTGAAGTCAAATTGTGAAGAAACATAATATAATTTTTAACAGGGGAGGTTGACATTGTCACAAGTCTGTCTACTTGCATGTGAAAATTGCAGTCCTATATTATACATAGGAAAACGGAATTATACCTACTATAAATCGAAAGATAAATTAGATCAGAGTCCCCATTCACATAAATAAATCCATAACTTCTAATTATAATTCTCTTTGTTGTGCTTTTCAAATGTCATTTATTGTACGAAAAGTAATTATACCGACATTCCAACAGTGAGTCAAATCGTTTAGTACGAAAGAAATAAAACGACCGACTCACCGTGATCTTTCAAAGCCCTTCACGTCGATTTTGACAAGAGCCCAGCCACTGTGTCGAGTTGTCCCTTCCTATCGAGCAATTAAAACGAGCACGGTAGGCAGATGCCTCTTATCTATACATTACCGACTCTTTTTAATCATATAAAACCTCTCAAGCCAGATAACGAGTAATGTATTGCTTCTGAGAATAATTAAACGCACTTTCAATATATGCACGATAAATACGTCGACGTTATATTTCTTAAAAGTCACGATTTTACGACTTGAGTCTCGTTAATATTTAATCGACTTCTTTATTGCAGTCGATACGAAAACTTATTGGAAAGTAAGGGATATGTAACTATATAGTAAATACATTTTATAAACCTTTTGCGGTCAAATCGCCTTAGAGGTCCAAAGTTCGAATTGTAACACCAAAAGTTGATCACCATTTTTGTCCTTGTGATAAAAATGGTGGCATAAAGTGCGATAGGTTCAAATTCTGGAGAGACAAGAAAATGTTTCGCCGGTAAATCAAACAGTGAAACGACACAGAAATGTTCGTACTATAATATTAGTTAAAGATGTTCTAAGAGTGGTAAAAATGAAATGTAATTAAATTGTTTTAAATAATTGTATACTCCTTCAATAGAATGTAAATAAAACGATATTTCTGTTCGCTAATAACGCAGAACCGAACATTATTTCTAAAGAGCGTATTGTTTGCAGCATTGAAACGGTTCAACTCGAGGGTTCTTATTTTATGTGAGCACTGTAGAGTTCATCTTCTCAAAGATAAAACCGCAAGACGGACTTAAAGGCTAGTCGTGGTACTTTGCGGTCAGAATATACGGATAAACTATATCTCACACTGCTTCGAGTGGAGTTCTTGTTTTCTTTTGACATTATCTAGAGGAATTTGTAATTAAAAATACCGTGTAGTTTTATCAACATTGTGTCGCGTCTCGGTTGGAACTAAATTAAAACTCTGTGACAGGCAACTTTTAAAATTTCTAGATACTAAAGCAAGCATTAAATTGTTTATACCTATATACATCAATGATCCTGCTGACAAGCAAGCAGCTTTATGTATCTTCATATGATTGTTCTTATTCTAACAAACATTGTCTACCTGTTTATCAATAAATTCGTCAAATACATAAAATGCTTAAAATGTTAATTTACGAAGAGGCTTGCTTTTAAATAATAAAGTATACAATTTATTTATATTATTTTACAATCTTTAAGAGAAAAATAATACTTTAAAGGAACCGAGTCTAGTTACTGTGACCTGTTTTTCGTTATCAGTAAAATGAAGCTTGCATGAAGTGAATTTCTTTATCATTTGCGTGCATACCGCGTTTCAATGCTATTATGCAAGTTTGTATAACATTTTTTAATTTAAGTCAAGGAACATTAGTATGGCTTTGATTTTTTTATTCTAAATTATGTAGCTACATATAATGATATTTTATTTTCATTTAGGTTAACGTTAGTAAATTTACTCACATTAAGAAAACTTGTATCTGTACTTAAGACGACTAGTACTTGAATAACAACTAATTGTTTAGTTACTTTAAGTGTGTGATTCTTTAACTTACACTTTTTACTCATTTTAGTTTTATCAATGTTTGAAATAAATTCATTTAGTGTGTTATCTGAATACGTTAAAAGCCCTTTCACATCCCGAGTTGCAGTAATTCGTTAATTTCGTAAAAAAACGCAGTTACCGGCCCATACATTAATTTTTATTTTTTGAAATTAATGGATAAAAATTCGTATGATGAATCCAAATAAATAATATATGTAAGAAGATATAATTAAAGAGTCGAAATGTTTTGTTCACAGTTTGCGACGCCTCGACCCGGCGGGGAGTCTTCGTGTTTGCAAGGCCCCGACTGTTTTATGGTAAGCATATTTTAAATTAAACAATGAAGATAGCAGACCTTCTTTATTTTTATCTGCGTTTAGAAGCTACAAATTGTTTAAAATAAAAGAACCGCGGGAGGGTAGATAGATGTCTTGGTTATATTTCACTGTTACCAGTAGCTTAAGCTGGTGGAAATGGTTTACAATTTTAATACAGATTTAGCAAATGGAGGGCTGTCTTGGTCCTATATTATCTAGGGACCCGATTCCCAACAGTGGTAACTGCCAAAAGGCTGCAATGGTCACTTAATGATTAGCTCAAAGATCCTGCTGCTGTAGAGTACTTTTTATTTTTAAATTTAACAGTACTTGTGCTATTTTCAAAAATAGAAACTCAAAATACATCAGCTTCGCTTGATACCGAACGTTGATTCGTAGTAATAGAAATTCGAATACAAACACTTTAGAGTTGTTGACGCAGCTCTTGGCTGTAAACGATGTTTTGAAAGCTTATTGAAAGCCATTTCCGATAAAAGGCCTTTTAGCAATAATACCGCAGTCAATGCTCATTATAGGCATAAATGAATTTTATTACGTTTCCATGTTAACTGTATTACTACATAAACATATCTGCTAATGCATTCGGGAAACCGGCCATCATAATTTCACGTGCCGGCATAAGCTTGTTACACCCTGTCTCATATAGGATGATAAGTTTCACAGTTAACAATAAGGATGAGGTTTAGTTCGTGCATCTATGCTATAGTTGACATGACTCTCACCATTTTAAAAATATGTTTAAGATCAGATTGTCATAAAGCACAACACAATATGAATCATCTAGAAATAAAAGTTTTATTCGTCAGATACAGTTTTACATAAAATTGAGTAATGGAAAGGTAATTAAAAATAAATTACATATAAATAAGATAATCAACAAGTAAATTTACATGCTACCTTTTTCACAAAAATAGAAAAATTTACAGTTTAATCAAATGACTTTCACCTAAATCTGGTGTAAAATTTATTTTATTCCAGTATAGATTTTAAATTTTTGTATTTATTCACAATATCTTTAAAAACAGTTTTAATTACGATATTAGTCGTAGTATACCACTATCAAAAGGAGATACTAAACAAATTATCCTAATATAGAATCATATGGTGCACAAACGCAAACTGTCAAAGCAACTCGATCATAACTCAGTTAAATCAATAAAATTAACTTCAAACGCGCCGCGGATTCCGAGCGACAGACCGTTTTGTCAATAGCTGTAATTAATAATCGTGGTTTGCCAGTTCTTATAATTATTAAAGCTTAGTCAGGCGAGAGTGGGCGTCAAGTTAACGTCAACTCCAACTAATGAGTGTTTCCAATGACAAATGTTCGAGCCGGCCATCACAGGGATTTCTAGACGTCAAGCCACCCAATCCCGATTACGCTATAGGCGATTGTTACGACAATATCATTCTAGTGAAAGCCACTTTCATTCAAACTAATATCAACGGAATAATTAACAACACTCGCTAAAATTATTTCCAAATGTAGGTATGTTGATACGAATCCACTAGAATACACAATATTTAATTTCAAATACTAAACAATTTCAATCCAATCATACAGGTAGTTTTAAAAACTCTTAGAACTTTTAATATAATCTTCATTTATAATACAGGCAAGGTTTATATCGTGAAATACTCTTTATAATAGTAGTGTATCGTCACATGTTTTCGACGCCTTGTTATGCGTTCGTGGACGTAGAATAATTTCACCATTTCGATGTTTTGTGTTAACGAGCTCGTCCCAATTCCGAATGTAATGACAGAAGATCGTATCAACACACGAGCAATCCGATATTCAACAATTTGACAGACAACACTGTCATTTATCCACTTTGTATCTCATTTTTCTGTGAAAGTCATTAGTGCGTACTCAATATTCATTTATCACTATACTTTATCTTCAATTGCTTCTTCCTAAATGTTAGACTGTAATTATTTCTGTTTCAATAAAGAAATTAACAAAGGGATTTGTTGTTACAGTGCTGGGAGAATTGTGAGTTACTCCAATCGAATTATCAAGTGTGGGGAGCGGTCTGCGATGAGAAGGACATTTGTGTAAGTATCGACTAAAAGGATTCCCTATGTTCGAGATACACAACGTATATATTTAAAATGACTTGCATTTGCATTAAATATTTTATTTATATACTAGAATATCAATGGTAAACGAATAAATTAACTTCAAGTATTTGCACCACGTTTCCAAAGACTTAAAAATGATGTGCGCGTAAACTACAAGTACAACTTTTATTTGCAGTTCCCGGGTTGCAAAGTTGCTTGTGAGTTCCACGCAGAAGCGGCAAGGGCGTCTCAGACGCAACCAGTAATTCATACTAAAGGCGAAGGCGTGATGCGAGTAAGCGGTGCACTCGCTCGTTGGCCCCCACCAGCCCCCCGAGCTACGACTCGACCGGCACCCCTAGTTTACGTAGTGATGCGTCGCGCCGCAGAAGGACCCTGGCGACAAATCATACAAACCCAAGCCCTGGCTACACGCGTTCCTTCAAACAACGAAGGTGCCCTACTGCGTGTACTAGTTGTCGATCCCTTAGGCCTTGTAACGATCTACAGCCCGGACGAAACTTGGGTAGCTCACGACAGCAATACATCCAACCACGACGAACACAAATGGATCCTAAAAGAAATTTCGCTCATTCATCAAAAAGTTCTCGTCATCGGCGAAATCGCTTGGGAACCGAGGATAGCTCGCGGTGTTTATCTAGTGACGTGGGAGGTTGATGGAGGTGGTTTAAAGGGGAATCTATTCACAGATTCCACTAGAGTTACATTATCTCTGTGGCCAGATACCATTTATCATATTCAAGTGGAACTGGTTTCTCGCACGCCGGGTGTTGATAATGAAAAATCGGAGACCATGACAATAGATACTAGCCGCGCTCAACGTGTTTCGACGGAGAGCGTGCAAGACGTCGAAGTGAGTGAAGGCGATCGTCTTATGTCTGTTCTAGTGAGTTCGATGAGGGGAGAACGTGTGCCGGAGCGCGCCCCAGACTCTGAATTAGTCTTAGGATGTCTTTCCGCAATGATAGCTTTCGGATTAGCCGTTCTCGCCGCAATCATTTGGAGACGAAGACGACGCGGTACCTTCCCAGGAACCAATGTGTATGTGGGGTCCTCGTCTGTCCTGAAACGTAAATTAGTGGAAGACTTCACTCCGACCGGGCACTGTTTTCAACCTGTGCTAGCTCCGCAAACTCCAACCAACGTTCCCCCTTCGAGGGATGTCGTAGTGTGACGTCACAGCTACGAAATGTTGTCGATAGAAGACCGGGCATTCAGTTCCTAAAGATATGGACTTAATAGTGTGAAACGAGAACGCGTGCGGCCGTTAGGTCGAGGATTTTCGAATGTGATAAAATTAAATTAGTTTTGAACTCGTGAAAGCTGCGGTGGTGTGGTACGAATAACTGTGACTTTATTTTTCTTTGTGATTTACTCTGTAACATTAAAAATCACTGTACCAGCAATTATGAAACATACTATATAAATTTTGTATGTAGTTTTAGACGAATTGTAAATTAAAAAATTGTACTTATAAATGTATTTATGGAATCACAGTAAGGTCAACACCAGAACTCTTAGATGTAAATAACTAAAAGCTTAGCGATATTCTATCTTTTATGATTGATTAAAGTTGTGTGTTGTAAATATTTAATAGGTGTTGAGTATTTGCACCGTTTCTTTGTATTGCCCCGTGCAAAATCAAAGATTATGTCATATTACGCGCTGTTTCTAACCTTGTCTATGATTCGTAGAAATATTGTGCTGTGGATTATTATTCTGCTATAAACGAGTTTAGTGTGTCTCATGAGAACCATGTGGGAAATAAATCGAAACTTTTTTATGGTAACTCAAGTCTTGATATATTTTTTATTGAAGTCTGATGTTTATCTGTATAATCTAAGTAACTGCGTCTTAATAATTTTAAATCAAAGCTTTCAAATACATTGAAAGGATCTCACCTTCGGTTTATTTTTTCAACATGGTCCTATAACTACTTTAACCTAGTCCTTATCATCGTTTAATTAGATTGTATGTCCTAATTCAGTACTCGAGCCTCGTAAGCAGGCCTTCACTTCTTCAGCAATAAATACATATACGTGTTTGTAAATATGAGGGATTTATTGTAAAAATATAACAGAGAAAGTATATTTTTCTTGAAGGCGACATAAAGTATATAAGGAATACTAGTTATCACGTTTTGAATGTAAAACAACTGTTTAGGTACGGTCAGTAAAAATGTATCGCTGTAGTCATTTATTTAATTATCTACGAAAACGTACTTTGATTTTAGAAACAAAATAAAGTTTGAAGCCAAAACGTTTTTTTGTGTTGTGTACAAATTTTGGTTTATTAATGACCAAATTCATATTAGCGTTAGGAGCTTAGTTAAATTAATTTATTTTAATCTTCATCCGAATTTGTAAATAGTGCTAATAGATGAAGCCTAAGGTTTAATGAATAAATATGTCTGCCAAATTATGATGATTTTTATTTCGTTGAATCGCGAACTCGCTACGCCACTTCCATTTGATTTATCTATTTACAGGTTTAATGGTTCTTGGAAGTTTATTTATATATATTATAAGTTTAAATCCGTTCAACAAATATTAACTCGGAGCTTACTGCCTCAGCCGGGAATGTTTGTCCGGCATCGTTTGACAGGCGGAAAAGGGCCATTGTGTTGGGATTATCGTCAACGAATTCGTTGTCAACAAACAATAGCGTCATATTAAGGAACCCTTTTAATTGTAGTCAATTCAAACGTACAGGCTTAAATGCTTATCTGAAACGATTTCAAAGAACGGTATTAACTGAAACTATTTGAAATAACAGTTTCAAAGCTAACAATAGGTACTTAAAAGACAGCCGAAGCAACGCTGTTTGTTATTTTTAAATTATTATAACGCGCAAACAGGTTGAATTGTTCGCGTGTAAAAATAATAAAGTTTTGGAGAAGTAACACCGCACCACTTCAATGACATCACACTTCATATGTTTATCATCGTCTACACCGTACTTCCTGTTTTTAGTTCTGGACGCCCAAGGTTTCCAGGTCCTCAGTAATTAGTTACTACCAGCGGAGCCTCGGTCTCTTGGGCTTTTGTTTAATTTTTTAGATATCAAGAGCACCAAGATACTTCATGTTATGGCGATTAAAAATAAACTTGTTTTTAATGACGGAAGGAAATATAGAAATATATCTATCGGCTAAAAGCCAACTACCGATCTTGAACGAAAAAGCGAGCTTTGAAGCACGCCAAAAAAATTTGTAACAGCGATAACCGCAAAACTGAAGTCGTTTGTACTCGCCGACTTCAATCCACTTTCCTAATCACGAGATAAGACCACCTATCACGAAATTCGAGTGTCAATTAGGTATGAGCTTTACGAAACCAGTTCGACCATTTTTATGACAAAAGGCGACCGCAAGAATGTAATCGAATCCCATACAAATAAACAGAAGACGCTCGTATCTCCTTAAAAGCCAATTATAGAGTTAAGGATGCATTAAATTGAGAAATCCATTAGGAGCCAAGCCACCGGCTATGAAGGTCATAAGAAATGCAAATGGGGACTTTGTAAACGACGTGTAAATCGTAGATAACTCGGTATATTTGAACACTAACAGTCCACACGCTTGTTTCTATAAATCAAAGCCCGATTAGATTAGATATTATTCCAATCAAAGCATTATAATTTAGATAAATCTCGCGACGCGGGCTCCCATTAATTTTCATTAACAAAAACCGGGATGTGTTTTGTTAATCTGTACTATTTATACCGATATTACATAACCAAAGTTTAAAAATCGAAAATAAATTGAAAAAATTTTCGACTCGGGCAGGACTTGAACCGGCACGTCAGCTTTCCGTGCTGTTGCTCTACCAATTGAGCTACCGAGTCCTACACCTCATCGTCGAATTTTTTCAACTTATTGATACATGCACCTCTCCGCAATTAATTTCTACCTTAACACTTGCGTATTAAGGCTCAATGTCTTATGCTTTGAGTTAAGAAATCATTGAAGATGAAATTACAAAGTTATAACGTTTGAAAAATTAATATTTTTCACAGTTATTGCACATGAAGGCACTTATTTAAAAATCGAAATAAATTGAAAAAATTTTCGACTCGGGCAGGACTTGAACCGGCATCGTCAGCTTTCCGTGCTGTTGCTCTACCATTGAGTCAGTCCTACACCTCATCGTCGAATTTTTTCAACTTATTGATAATGCACCTCTCGCGCAATGTAATTTCTACCTTAACATTGCGTATTAAGGCTCAATGTCTTATGCTTTGCAGCTTAAGAAATCATTGAAGATGAAATTACAAAGTTATAACGTTTGAAAAATTAATATTTTTCACATGTTATTGCACATGAAGGCACTATATAATTTAAAAATCGAAAATAAATTGAAAAAATTTTTTCGACTCGGGCAGGACTTGAACCGCAGTCAGCTTTCCGTGCTGTTGCTCTACCAATTGAGCTACCGAGTCCACACCTCATCGTCGAATTTTTTCAACTTATTGATACATGCACCTCTCGCGCAATGTAATTTCTACCTTAACACTTGCGTATTAAGGCTCAATGTCTTATGCTTTGCAGCTTAAGAAATCATTGAAGATGAAATTACAAAGTTATAACGTTTGAAAAATATATTTTTCAATTTATTGCACATGAAGGCACTATATAATTTAAAAATCGAAAATAAATTGAAAAAATTTTCGACTCGGGCAGGACTTGAACCGGCATCGTCAGCTTTCCGTGCTGTTGCTCTACCAATTGAGCTACCGAGTCCTACACCTCATCGTCGAATTTTTTCAACTAATTGATACATGCACCTCTCGCGCAATGTAATTTCTACCTTAACACTTGCGTATTAAGGCTCAATGTCTTATGCTTTGCAGCTTAAGAAATCATTGAAGATGAAATTACAAAGTTATAACGTTTGAAAACATTAATATTTTTCACATTTTATTGCACATGAAGGCACTATATAATTTAAAAATCGAAAATAAATTGAAAAAATTTTTTCGACTCGGGCAGGACTTGAACCGGCATCGTCAGCTTTCCGTGCTGTTGCTCTACCAATTGAGCTACCGAGTCCTACACCTCATCGTCGAATTTTTCAACTTATTGATACATGCACCTCTCGCGCAATGTAATTTCTACCTTAACACTTGCGTATTAAGGCTCAATTCTTTGCTTTGCAGCTTAAGAAATCATTGAAGATGAAATTACAAAGTTATAACGTTTGAAAAATTAATATTTTTCAATTTATTGCACAGAAGGCACTAAATTTAAAAATCGAAAATAAATTGAAAAAATTTTCGACTCGGGCAGGACTTGAACCGGCATCGTCAGCTTTCCGTGCTGTTGCTCTACCAATTGAGCTAATAAACTAAACCTATTAATGTTTTCAAACGTTATAACTTTGTAATTTCATCTTCAATGATTTCTTAAGCTGCAAACCATAAGACATTGAGCCTTAATACGCAAGTGTTAAGGTAGAAATTACATTGCGCGAGAGGTGCATGTATCAATAAGTTGAAAAAATTCGACGATGAGGTGTAGGACTCGGTAGCTCAATTGGTAGAAACAGCACGGAAAGCTGACATGCCGGTTCAAGTCCTGCCCGAGTCGAAAATTTTTTCAATTTATTTTCGATTTTTAAATTATATAGTGCCTTCATGTGCAATAACATGTGAAAAATATTAATGTTTTCAAACGTTATAACTGTGTAATTTCATCTTCAATGATTTCTTAAGCTGCAAAGCATAAGACATTGAGCCTTAATACGCAAGTGTTAAGGTAGAAATTAATTGCGCGAGAGGTGCATGTATCAATAAGTTGAAAAAAATTCGACATGGTTAGGATCGGTACTCAATTGGTAGAGCAACAGCACGGAAAGCTGACGATGCCGGTTCAAGTCCTGCCCGAGTCGAAAATTTTTTCAATTTATTTTCGATTTTTAAATTATATAGTGCCTTCATGTGCAATAACATGTGAAAAATATTAATGTTTTCATAACCAAAGTTTTTATTCTTTGACAGCACGCTCTAATCTAAAACTATTGAATATTTTAAAATATTGTAAAATTGTTCGTTTGTTTAAATGCGCTAATCTCAGGAACTACACGTTCGAATTGAAAATTATTTGTGTTGGTTAGGTGATTGGCTAAAACATTGCCCTGTCGCTAATACAAGCGAAGATACAGCGGGAAATGCGAA